CTGTGTGTGCAGTGTCCCCTCTGTGTGTGCAGTGTCCCCACACACACATCACAGCTGGGACAGGATGCTGCTCTGTGCCCACGAGCCAGATTCACCCTACAGAATCATGGAATTATTGAGGTTGGAAAAGACCTCCAAGACCATCGAGTCCAGAGTGCTGAGTGCCACCTCCAGTCCTTCCCTGGACATCTCCAGGGATGGGGACTCCAACATCTCCCTGGACAGCCCATTCCGGTGCCTGACAAGCCTTTCTGTGAAGAAATTCTTCCTCGTATCCAACCGAAACCCTCTCTGGCACAACTTGAGGCCGTTTTTCCTTGTCCTGTCCCTGTTCCCTGGGAGCCCCCCGGCTGTCCCCTCCTGTCAGGGAGTTGTGCAGAGCCACAAGGTCCCCCCTGAGCCTCCTTTTCTCCAGGCTGAGCCCCTTCCCAGCTCCCTCAGCCATTCCTGGGGCTCCAGACCCTTCCCCAGCTCCATTCCTTTCCTTTTCCAGTTTTCCAGCCTGGAGCAGTCCATGGGGTTGTTGTGACCAACAGCCTGACAGGGGCTGTGGCTGTGTCCTGATTGTACCCCAGCCCCTCCTGCACACACCTGCACACCTTTCCCAGGGTAAAAACAGGGCAAAGGGGATGACTGGATGTCACCTCTGCCTCTGAATTACCCTGTGCTGGTGGATGAGGGGCTTTACCCCACTTAAAAAAACAGCAAATGTGAGTGTGAGTGTCATGTATACTCTTGTGCACCCCTAAAAGTCTGTGTGTGTGTGATTCTCCTTCGGAATTTTCAGCAAACCCCCTCTCACAGCCCCACTGTGGGGAAAAATCCCCAGGGTACAGAGCATGTGTTTCCTAATTCCCCCTTCTCCCACACATCCTGCTTGTCCCCGTTCTCCAGCCTGCAGTGACCAGGGGACTTCTGTGCATCGCATGGTGTTGGATATCCAAAAATAGGCTTGTGCTCCACCTCCTACGTTTGCTTTCAGCCGGGGAATCCTGTTAATGGAGTGTGTTAAAACCCAGAGAGAGGCCAGACTGAGTTCAGGCTGCAAGGGGAGGTGAAGCTTTTAAAAATGTTCACTGCTGGCGTGGTGTTTCCCTGAGTCATTAAAATCCTGCTGAAACGCTGCACGTGGATCCTTGGATGCATCAGCAGCGCTTTCCAACCCTGAAAACTCCAAGAACGTTGGGAATCCAACCCGAGGAGCTCTGAGCATGATTCTTCTACCTTTTGAAATGGAGAAAGAGGGAAAATAGAGGAGACAAACAAGGAGCAAGCAAGAAGCCACGGGAGGAGGCTGCGGTGTTTGGCCCCGTTGTTTTAGCAACAGGGACATGATCTGTTTGTTTAATTTATCTTTTGCATTTCTAATGAGCTGCACAAGGTAACCTCACCCTGAAGCCTCCTCCCAGATTTTTCTCCACAGTGGGGAAGAAGAAGGGAATGTTCCCTATGCTGTAGATTGATTTTTTAGACACAGATTGTAGGATTCTCACTTTTAATCCAGATTTCCATCAATGCCAGTGTGATTTCAACATCTTTTCTCCTCTGAGAAGTGTTTCACCTTTCATGTCATCCTACTCAAATTTCCCTTCCTTTTTCTCCTTGCCTGAGATCAAGGGAAGATTTTCCAAATGAACAAGGGGCACTCCAAATGTTCTTTACCTGTCTTATGAATTCTTTCAAATCATGGAATGGTTTGGGTTGGAAGAACCTTAAAGCTCATCTCATCCCACCCTCTGCCATGGCAGGGACACCTCCCACTGTCCCAGGCTGCTCCAATCCCATCCAGCCTGGCCTTGGACACTTCCAGGGATCCAGGGGCAGCCACAGCTTCTCTGGGCACCCTGTGCCAGGGCCTCACCACCCTCCCAGCCAGGAATTCCCAATTCCCAATATCCCATCCATCCCTGCCCTCTGGCAGTGGGAGCCATTCCCTGTGTCCTGTCCCTCCATCCCTTGTCCCCAGTCCCTCTCCTGCTCTCCTGGAGCCTCTTTAGGCTTGGAAGGGGCTCTGAGCTCTCCCTGGAGCCTTTTCTTCTCCAGGATGAAGAACCTTAGACTTAACTGAGCACCAGATGTTCATCACAATCCTCCTCCTCCTCCTCCTCCTCATCATCATCATCAAGCTGAACCACAGCACGGAGAGTTGTGATGTGACTGTTCTTCCTTGGAGACCTATGGGGACACATGGCCTCAAAAACAGTTTATTAAAGGCAAAATTTAAGGGAACTCCAGAGCCTGGAGCCTCTCCTGAAGGA